ACAGACAGACAGACAGACAGACAGACAGACAGACAGACAGACAGACAGACAGACAGACAGACAGACAGACAGACAGACAGACAGACAGACCACAATTTTTCCGTCGAAGGTCCCCAAGAAAGACTATCGTGTTTAAAAAATGGTTTTGTGCGTCTATAGAACTTCGCGCTCATTTGGCAATGTCAGGCCAAGGTGTATGAGATGCGAAGTCAATGCTTGGACGTCTGTATTCTCAAATAATTTTTTTTGCTGTTGATTTACGCCACCGATATTAGAGCGCTTATAATTGCGATGCATCTGCACGAGATCTGATTGTGCTGGAAACTTACTGTACTTCAAATTTTGCAGGCTGTAATGGTACGGGCGAAGAAATGAAAATGACAGCCCAGTTGACAAGCTAAGTCAGAAGAGTGCCATGCTGTATGTTCTCGGGTTACACGTAATTAAAAGGGTTGCTTATTTTTTACTTCTTGGAACCAGTGCTGCTTTACATTATAATGCCGTTTAAAGAATCCTCCCGTCAAGCCGCAGAAGCAGGATACAGGGACGTGCTTGCAGGCGGTCACCATGCGTCTAGACTGTGTTTAGACAGAATGCCACTGGTTCTGCGATGACCGCAGACTGGTTGCAGGCACGTTTTGATCACTTGTGGCCACCCATTCCTGCTGTGATTTTTACGGTGTTCGATGTATACGTTGGGCAATGTAAGAACGAACATCGAAATGTGTTTCCTTGTTCAAGGAATACGCAACACGCGTTCAGAGTTTGGTGTACCTGGTATGAAACACTGCGGTGGTACATAGCAGTGCCGATTTCCACTTTTTCTTTATTTAGTAGTCTACCTCGGCGAATACTTGATTCTGATTAGAAAGACGCTGTTATGCTACATTTCGACCCTTTAATTTGGATGCAGTATAAAGTTCCGATATTGCTAATGTGCCACCAAAACATAATAAAAGTTCAGACGACGAAAAAGGAGATGATAACAACTCACGCACTTTCTCTGGTAAAACGTTCAGAGTGAATGTAGGCTAGCTAATCCAAGCTTTCTACAATATTCCGGTAAAATTACTTCTCACGTACCGTATTTCAACGACATGAACAGGGCGCTCAGTTATGTAGAGCTTAACTGCGCTTCGGTTGACCACCTCATATATATGCCCACGCGATATAACAGTAAAAGTGCAAGACAACGACGATAATTAGCCCAGTTTTGCCCTATACAATTCTTCAGGAAGGAGGAATGCTAGAATGCGTATATATTCTAAAATTGAGGTATTTGGCACCGAGCCAAAACAGACCATAATAAAAAAGTAATACCACCACAGACGAATTGATATCTCTTTACAATTACCTATCAGGAAAATGGCGCAGTTGCCATGCTTTTCTTCGTAAATGGGACCAAAATAATTGCAGTAACAAAACAATACCTTCCTTCAGTTCAGCCAGAAGATTCTGGCGGTGACTCTTGCTCGTACGCGACAAAAAAAAAAAAAAACTTGCGCATGCTGGAATCTCATGCGCACTGCTCTCTGCCGAAGTGGCCGCCGCCGTCAGAATCTACGCTTTCTCGTGATAGACTGGAGAGCGAGATGATACTCGTTCATTTTGCTGGGCAGCGCAGCAATTGGGACGGCCAGGGACAAACATGCCGCGCGCGTTGCCATCTCGGAGGCCATGTGCACACACGTGCACGTCAGGCAGCTGCCGCCAGGCGGTGACTCCGCTCGCTATCGCGCCGAGTAGGCGTCTAGATTGATACGTAGATAAAAATGCTCAGAGTGCCTGCAGTTCACTAAGAAATGATTCACATTGGATGAAAAAAACTCTTGTTTGAGTAGAATTCAACGCAAGCCTTTGAGTAGTAAGCAGGTAATTCACCAGAAAGCCACGCCGTAGCTTGACAGTGCTCCCGACAAAAAAAGAAAAAAAGAAGTGCGCAGGTTACAAAAGTGACCCCACGCTGAAACAATCAGTGGAACTAGTTTTCAACGTGACTGAGTTTTGCCTAATACAAAGGATTAGTTTTTTTTGTATAGCAGTAATAAGTATGACTAGCCTTCGCTAAGAATGTCACGTGACCACCGGTGACGTGACGTTCTGATTTTAGTTACGGGACTAGCCATAACATGAATTATGGAGCAAACCACGCGAGTAGCTGTTACGTATTTTGAGGCTGAAACATGCTATGGCGCTAGCTATCACGCGGTGTTGCGTGCTTCTATTATCATGATCGAATGTTTCGTGATTGTTAGTCACGTGACTAGATGTTGCTTGACATAAGAGGTTTTTTATTCTGGCTAGCAGTTACGTCATGATACGTGATCCTTAGTAACGTAAATTTTACGCTGTTTCATTGAAGTGACTTGGCGCTACGTAATGTTTAGTCTTTTTGTATACATGCCTAGCCACTACTTACTGGTACGTGATTTTTTGGGCGAAAGCTGTTTTAATGATCCTACAAGGGTCGCGTGAGCTGTAGTCGTCCGCCACCGCCGGTGTCTGTAACCGCTATCGCGTGAATTGAGGAAAAAATACAGGGTGAATAAAAGCCACCAACTACTTGGCAGCCAAGCAATCTACCACAGAGCCACACCGATGCTTCAAGCTGCGTCGCAAGTTGGCCTTAGGCAGGCTTGATGTAGGGGAAAGAATCGCAGTAATATGAGTAGTAAGGTGTTTTAGAACAACAATGGACGAACTAGGCGTGACACAACTTGAATGGTGTTACTAGTTGGTCGTAGAATGCTCGAACCGTTAACAAAACCTTCAGGCATCATTCGTCATCGTCGTGGGCCAGCGCATCAAAAATGCAAAATATTTCTTGTAAGTGTGTAGCGGGCACCACGCTTCTCGGAAGAATGACAAAGGATGGCATTGTGAATGCTTCCCTGTAACATAAAAAAATAGCGATGTATTGGGTATTGGGCACCCTGAAATTGTGCTTGTAACAGGTACCAAAAAATGTTTAAAAAAGGCTCTGAAAGGTTGCTCTTTCCAGCGTTTGCTGTGACTGCGCTGCGCGTTCCGCGAATGCAGTTCTGGCGCTTTCCCAGTTTAGTGCCTTCTTCTTACGCGATGTTACGTGACTTTTAGTCACGTAAACATTTACGCACCATAGATATTGCATTCCACGCTGGGCACAACAGCACATCTGTAGGGGGAGTGATGCAGACGTCGAAGAGAACGAAGCGAGAACGTACCGGTTCATGGTGGCAATACTGGTTTGAAACGAAAAGCTGAATGTTACGTCACTATAACTCTTAAAAAATACCTCTGCTCTTGAAAACATGTGTACATGTCTTGTAGCGCAAGCGTCTCCTTAACTAATCTGATATTGCCTGGTAGAAGCGTTCATTTGCCCCATGCGTGAAAAAAAAAAGGATTGCTTGACGAGTGGGTGGTTTAAAGGGCCACTCATCACACAGCACTCAGGCATAATTGAGCAAGATAATAGCTAGTAATAGTAACAAAAATTTGTGCTGGTTGACGTATTGTCTTACCGGTGCATTGTGTAAATGGTAGGCGTTGTTTGTGGGTACCTCCCTAATTCGCAAAAGAGTGAGAATTATGGCATAGTGGGGACTTCACAGTTGTGCCAGCATTATAGGCATTCATTGATAGGTTGAAGCGGCTGATGTTCGTACGCAATGTTCCTTTTATTGTGGTGCCGTTGAGGCCGGTGTCCACTAAAATCGAAGCCAGGCCAGCGATTGAAACGATGATGTACGCGACGCCTTATAGCACTATCACATTCCATACTCTTGAGGGTGAAGCTCAAGTGTCCTCCAAGTGTTTCGAGAGTATTCGCTGAAAAAAATCGTGTAAAAGAGTGAACTTTTTATTGATGCACTCGTTTATACCACTGCGCCTTACGAATCTATGCGCACTGTCGCAAACTATTTGCAGCTTTGCGATTGACGAGACAAATACATTTGTTTTTATGTACATAGCCAACGCTGCTTGTAGCAAAACAGTTTCAACAGATTTTACACGGTTATGCAGCGACAGATTTTAGGCCTTCAAACATCCACTATACACCAATAAATCTATTTATCCTTGAGAAACAAGAATGACGTGGTCGCATTGCTTTTCACCACCTCCCCCTTTATGGCCTCCACAGATGTTATGGGCTCTTTCTGCAAGTTACAATGCAGTCATTGTGCGCCCACCTATATGATAACCTTTCATCTACTTTTCATCTACTTGTTCACCAATTTTATAGCCTTTAAGTTTCGGGAAATCGTACGTGTATCAAACTATGTACAGGGTCACTTATCAAACACGGGAGTGCGCGTTCACCGGAACGCGCAGGCCTGCGCGTTCCGGTGGGTGCTGGCAGCGCCTTGAAGCGGGAGCGAAATCAACCACAGCCTCTTCTCGCGTCATCTCTCGGCGAGCAAAGAACGATTTACTGCTGATATAGAGTCAGCGGCGAGATTGGAGCCTCGTCCTTCTCTAATGCGACTACGCAAGATGCCGGTAGTCGCCCTGAACGGAGAGAGTGTCGAAATGTTTTCGTTGGTTGCATATCAGCAACGAATCGTTGTTTTGCTTGTCGCGAGATGGCTCTAAAACAGGCTGTGTTTGCTTCCGCGCCCGCTTAGACGCGCTGCCAGCAGCCGCCCGAGCGCGCAGGCCATGCGCTACCGTGTTCCCTTCCATAAAAATTGACACTGTACATAAGCATTTTCTTACTAGACATCGTACAAATTTTCGATTTTTCTGTTTCAAGAATAAAAAATTTCTATACATTAGATTCGTCATGCAACAGATGTTTCTATCAAAAATTTAGATTACATTAAATAAAGAGATACGGCTATTCAAATGCCCTCTGGGCCGTATGTTTCGATAGCAACGAATTATTTAAAAAGCAAGCAAGCAAACAAACAAACATACGAAAATAAATATATTTCACTGCTAATAGAGCCCGAATTGTTCATTTTACTTCTGGTTACGTTCCAATCTCTTTATAAGTCACCAAAATGTACGAAAACGCATTTTTACATATATGAAACAACCATGGTGTTTATTGATACGTTAAAATTTATTGCAATGACTGCAGATGAAAACAGAAAAAGATCATGAGCCGCCGTTGCAGTTATATTTGTCAACTGCGTCTCGAAGCATGAAAATAATTTTGTGGTCGCGACATTAGGCCCCTCTTTGGTGTGTGCACGTTTTCATTTTGTCATAGCACAGGTAATATAAAGTCACAAAAGGCCTAATCGTGCGCAGGTGACCACCTCTCCGTCTGTCCTCAGTTCTCAATCAGCGAATAGATGAATTGGGCCAAATGTAATACTCCGCAGGCTATCGCGACGATCTGCGAAGACAAAAAAGCAAGCGATTAGTTTAAAGTGCGACATTTCGAGCGTGCCGTGTGAAACGGAAACCAACAGTTCCCGAATGCAGAGCGACCATCTATCTATACGAACACTCCATATTTCGGCGCACCTATGGTATTTCTTTATCTTTCTTACTTTCGCACTGCTGCCATCATTGCAGAACGTAATGATGCGGGGTAGGTTAATGAGTTCAGTGGCAAGAAGCTGAACCATAAGTTCGGAGAAAGCAAGTGCATTGAAAATGTAATTGGGGGTGGAGGGGAGGGGATACTTACATTCCAGACCTGTGATGTAAGGCACGCTGTGCTAGGAACAATAAATTATTTTGAGCCCATTTGCTATGTGCGTTTATATCTAAGTGCCCATGTTTTCTTTTCCTACTTTTTTTAAGCATTTTGCCGTTATCGAAATGTATCGCTTCGGCCTCGAGCTGAACCCGTTGTGATCCGCTTAGTAGTTCAGTGCGAAGGCAACGCCTTTTCTTTATGCAATAATAGTAATAATAAAGATGAAATAACAAGTGAGCATTCCCAAACCATACCCAACTACGCAACATTCACGCGATACCCCCACCCCTTTCCGATGAGTTTACTCGAGTTCCCGCCGTGGGAAGACGCGGGCGGGGTCTATTTATTCATTTAATACTTATTAATTATTTTTTTATTTATTTCTTTTTATTTATTCATTTATTTACAGATGTAGTGCGAACATGTAACCAGTCACTAATAAGTAAAATGCTGAAACTTTAGCTCCTCTTTTAATCTGTCAAAATACCGTTCACGTGAAGTAACTATTATTCTCGCCATTAACATGTTCTCTCATGAGAAAGCCTACACAAGTGACCCATGAATTCTCAACATTTCGGTAACTTACCCCATCGATTATGGATGCGTTTCCAACGGTCGCGACTCCCCCTGAAATGTAACATACCGCTGCCCTCAGATGAAAAAGGGTGTACTGGAAAGAAATGAGTGCGTTTACGCTAGCACGCGAATAAAGAGCATTCACTGTTGAGTAATAGTAAAAAGCTGTATAGTATGGAACAACGAAGTGTAACAATTCAGGCACCATTTTTGCTCATTAATTACTCTATGACTTGTATGGTACACTAAAGAGACGAGATGAAATAGTACGCAAGCGTATTGAACATTTGCAGCGCAGTGGGAGAAAATTAGCTACGTTAGCGTTCCTACATCTATACCGTGTTTAGTTGGAATGAGAGAAGTTATTTATATAGTCATGGATGTTGCCAATGGTTCATCATAGGAACACGAATTTTTTTAGACGTCTTTTGTCTGACTGGGACCGGCATCCAAGACATGAAAATGAAGGCGGCGCGCGGCTCCTTCGAAAGTGCGCATCTTCACTTCTTGGCACACAACGCAGATTTTTCAACCCCGAGAGCGCAGTTCGGATTTTCACTCATGGGTGCAGTTGCGAGGTCGTACGTGCTTTGCACGGCTTATGCGGCACAGCTCATTCGAACTTCTTCGGGTGAACGTACTTGTCCTAAACATGTTTGTCATCGTCATTCATTTTAAGGGCACAACGTTGGAACCATTCCGCAAAGTAGCTGGCCAAAGAAGAAGTAGATAGAGGTGAGTTGGTTGCTTCCAACACAAAATTTTAAGTGCATCTGGCTCACTTAGGTTCTAAACAGTCCGGGATTTGACTTTTTTTATTTTTCTTTAAAGTAACGTTTTTGGTAGGCGTTAGAATTGGTGGTTTACTCATGTTGAGAAACATTTCTTTTCTTTTCGATTCTTTCTCTCTCTCTTCATTTACTGAAACAACCTAATGCGCCTCGGACTGCCACCAAATTAAACCCACCATAGACTTATAGTAATGAAAGCTGGCAACTTGATTCTGCTCTTTTTTCCACTTTCATTGATCTACCGCGCAGAGGAAGCGAGGCACATCGCGTGTCTCCAGACTTTCGCATCCTGAGACCGTTCAAAGGCTCGCCACGGTAAGCGACATCGACGTCTCGTTCAGTAAAGAAGATGTGGTGTAACCTTGGCTTTCACACCACAAGCCTGGCTTGTACCTAAAGGTTCTGGCCCACTACGCAGTTTCCTTCGTAGTTTTGTCCCGCCTTAGCGTCGTTACCTGCGGCCGTCGCCTCACAAAAATTCACGTCTTACATGTCGTCCACATGAAGCCACATCGAGCGCAACAGTTTACTAACTTTACCGGTGCACATCGTCTGCAACGGAGAACTGATAATGAAGTGTGAAAGAGGAGACGGGAGTCATGTTGGATTCTGGGCCTATAGCCTTCCGCGATCGTCTGTCATCCCACTCAGCCAAAATTTTGGTGACCCTTATTCTTCGCCTTTAATAGTTGAACGCGATAGCAAAATCCGGCCCCCAGTGCACCCTTCAACCGCTAAGTGCATACTTATTCATATGTTTTATTACATACACACGCACGCACACTAACACGCGCACAGTAGATTGAACCAGCGCCGATATTACCGCCGAACGGGTTCGTTTTCATCGTGACACTTGTCGAACAAAAACGTTAAAGGGGCCCTGAAACACTTCTTCAAATAACGATAAAATTAATTCACTAGAAAAGCTTATTACCTCCTGAATTCAACGCCGCTAAAATTTTAAGAATCCGTCCAGTTCGAGTGCAGTTAATGGAGGCGGAAATGTTGTTGGCCCGTGTACTCAGATTTGGGTGCACGTTAAAGAACCCCAGGTGGTCAAAATTTCCGGAGCCCTCCACTACGGCGTCTCTCATAATCAAATGGTGGTTTTGAGACGTTAAACCCCACAAATCAATCAATCAATCAATCGAGTGCAGTTAGAAAGGTTTGTCGCATGCTGCGATTGCATTATCTCTTCTCTCGTCCCGACAAAAGTGCTGGAAGCTAAGCAGGGAGGGATGGCAGGGCAAACAAACTACCGCACCTCGTGACCCACTCTACCTTGCGCACTTTTTTTTTTCTTCGAATACGCGGCTTTTCAGTGTGATGGCGCGCATGCGCGTGGACAAGTAGCGCTCTGCAGCGGCCATCTCGGTAACTTGAATTTTTGGTCAGAGACGCGCAGACAATTTTTCGCTCCCAAACAATGGGGCCGACGATGGCGGCTGGATTTCTGCGATACGAGCTCTTTAACGCTATCCCGTTAAAATTATCAGCTCTTGCAGTAACAGTATCGGCCAGACTCCTTTGAACAAAGCGCTTCGAGGACACTTGACCTTCGCCTTCAAAAGCCGAACGTGGTAGCGTCACCGTTCGCATCTCAATCGCTTTCGAAGCTACCCTTCTGAATGAAACCCTCGCCGCGAGGACCCGAATGTTTGTGGACGTAACATTGACCACTTGAGAGTCTCCTACAATGCATACCTGCTGCGAATGCACTCTCGATGGGCCCCCTATGCCATTAATCGTTTAATTGCGAATCAGCAAAGGGTCAATTACGCATCCGTAAAGCGATACGCGCAGCTTCATAATTTATAAGCTGTTCTTGTTAATAACGGAAGATCTTAATCATTCCAATCACTTCACTGCCGACGAAATCACGCTCTCTTATTTTTTTTACAAACTAGTACATGGCATGATATCCTGCCGTTTGCTTCTGAGATGTGTATATTTTCGGATTCCACGTAAGTAAACCAAAGAGAATCGACCATTTCATGTGCCTGCCAACTTCTTTCAACAATCTATCTTTAAAAGAATACAGAGTCTATATAATGTTAACTTTCATAATCCTGATGTTTTTCACAGCCCACTGCCATTGTTTTTATCTCAGCTTTGCACTGTCTTACGATAGTTTTTCACAATCTGCAGATTCCTCCCTTTTCCATTTTTCATGAAGCTTTCCACATAGTCGAGCATATTCCCCGTTATTTTTCACTGCCATTCCACGATGCTCGTTTTGTTTTTTATTCTTCCCATTTCGAGGTGATCTCTTTTTGTCTGCACGTTTTCGCTCGTTTCATTCTGCAGATGGTATTTGATTGCTTATTCTTATTATTTCATGTTTGCGTGCACCTGCACTATGGCCTCATAGTTGCTCCAGGGCACGTTAGATAAATTATTATTATTATTATTATTATTATTATTATTATTATTATTATTATTATTATTATTATTATTATTTTATTATTATTATTATTATTATTATTATTATTATTATTATTATTATTATTATTATTATTATTATTATTATTATTATTATTATTATTATTATTATTATTATTATAGAAGTTGTACTTTACAAAACACCTTGCTTAACGCTTCATCATTTATTCTATATACAATCGAAGTGTTTAAATGAGCTCTAACCTTTTTATTTCACTGTCCTTAGGAGCCCTCGCACCACTTTGTCAGCATGGTCAGAAAAATACGCCGACCGGTAGTCGACGCTTCTGAGTAAGGTTGCTTAATACAACTGCATGTTGAGCTAGCTGGTAACGATGCATTGTGCTGGTAGCATGACAAACATGGACAGATCGAAAGCCACACAGCGCCTTCTCTGCGTGGTCCTCTTCTGTCTATCATGGTCACGCTCCGACTTCGTTATTTCTGACAGCATGCGAGCCAATTATTATACAGCAGCACGAGGCCTAAACTTAAGTCTCAAAGTACGCTAGAAATCATGCTATATACCTAAATGATCAGGCCATACACACGAATTTCGCCCGTGTGCTCAGATCTGGGTGCACGTTAAAGAACCCCAGGTGGTCGAAATTTCCGGAGCCCTCCACTACGGCGTCTCTCATAATCATATAGTGGTTTTGGGACGTTAAACCCCACATATCAATCAATCAATCAATCAATACACACGAATTTCGCGTCATTGGCTGATCTCAGCATCGTGAGCTCTATAGTTAGGTGACCACCACGGTAGGCCACCATGTGGCCACGCTCACGAATGCACTAAAAGTAAGCCCCGTTAGATAAAAAAAACGCTCAAGGTCAAGACGCGCTCTTCACATGACTTCATTCCGCCATGACTCTCTTTTCTGCTCACCTTCCAGAGCACTCGAGGAAAGATAGAAAGCAATCACCGCTGTAACTTCGCTTCTACTTGACGGAATAAAAGTTTCTTTTCGGTATCAAGGTAGCGCCAAATTCTTACAATGTAATGAATAATCAACTAGCCCTAAAACAAGTTTTATTCATTTGAATATAGTAGTTGCGAAGAAGTCTATATGTATTGATAGATAAGGTCCCACACGCCCCTCACTGACACGATAACTTTAAAAACGTGGACATTTTCGCCATTGACGATCGGATCAGTAACAAATGCTTTTAACCTTAGAAATGGCAATCTATAACAGAAGGCAAAATATTGTAGTTGCTATAAGGTGTATGTTTACAGGTTTGGGTGCGATGCCATGAAATAGCTCACTCACGTAAAACAGTCTGGGGAGCATAAGGGCCGTCGGAACGCTCATTATCGATGACATGAGGAAGAAGAATCCATATGTCGCGAAGATGCTCACGCAGCTGCAGAGGAACTGCTCGCTCGGTATGGTTGCGCTAAAGGTGCCGTACATCATCCAGAGAATGGCGCATAGCACCTGCATCGCACCGCGGAGCCCCGATGTCATCAAACACGGCTTCGCTTCTTATAGTTCCGCCCATTTACACGTGCTCATCGATTCTCATTTCAAGTAGACTGATTTCGCAATGCAGCAGACGCACGCAGCTACTTTTGTATTGTGGCTTTAAAACAACGCCGCTCCCTTATCGATGTCCTTTGTACAGAGCATGATTTCTTTTTTCCCTGCGGATCTGTGAACAACGTTCCACTGGAATAATATGCATGCATGCATCAGCAAACCTACAGTGTTGAAAACATTGACGACAATGTAGAGAAATTGGGGCAAACGCGAGTTTTTCCCAGTGCATGAAGCCCCTTCTTCAGCACCTATAAAAATACAAAAGGAATATACTAACTTTGCATATTTTGCGCTTGTTTTCACTGCCTCTGCGCGCAACAACCTCAATTCTTGCAGTGTATTTTGTGATGTTTTTTACCAGCTTGATAAGCCACAATACTACATTTTTATATCATTTCCAGGTCGTTCCGCCATCATTCTCCTAAATATTACTTGAGTGCCTGAGTGTCCACCAATAGACTTCTTACCGATTTCGTGGAGGTGCTGGGTAGAACGCAAGGTTCGGGATCAAAGCTTCAAGGACATCGATTGCGAACCGAAGGTGTTTAAAGCTGTCTAAAGCTGTCGAAGCCATTCTCAAAGAGTGAAACGTTGTTCACCGCAAAACTGCTGCTTACCACGCGCAGACGAATGGCCTCTTCGAACGCTTCAACCGTACGCTCGGTGACATGCTCTCCAAGTACGTCACTGCCGATCACACAAATTGGGATGTCATTCTACCCTTTTCACCTACGCATATAATACCGCCCCTCAGAGTACTACTGACTTTTCACCTCTCTTTTTATTGTATGGAAAGAAGCCGTAGCACACCATCAACACTACACTTCCGGACAAGCCAGATCCGTCCGAGTGGTCGCCTATTTCTGCTACATCCAAGCTTCCTGAAGAGTGTCGAAAGCTTGCAAAGAACTTGTGGGGATATGAGGCGCGCCTGCGACCATTTCGCGGGCATTCCGCCGCACGGCCACACCCTTTTCTTTTCCTGCTCTGATAACGACGCGTGGCGATAGATGGCGCCACGTGTGGGCACGGCGCGCGGTACGTGCGCGCCGAGGGAGCGATCTTCTCCGTGGTCGGCGCCGGGTAAGCACGTGTTTTCCTTCGTCCGCGTCCCCTTTGGGACTCGCGGACTGCAGCCTGCCTGGGGTGGCCTTGGGCACCCCGACAGGCGTGTTTACTTGAGTGCTGGCTTCGGTAGCGTATGCTAAGCCCAGAGCGGTGCCTAGTGCTTGAAGTGGTCGTACCACAACGAGCCGCACTTGCCGTAGGCCTACGCGTACGAGGTTTGCCCTAACACTCGTGACCAGGCCCATTGGCCATCGTGAGAGTGCGCAGCATAGCCGCGAGGGACCTTTTCCCGACCGGCGTGTCAAAGCTTGCCATTGCCAGCTGCGACGTGCTCGCGGTTTTCCCCTTATTGTGAACGTCCGCGTGCGGGTGCCTTTGCTACCCCCGTCCCGGGAGCGGACGTTGTGCTGTTGTTCGGGGTGCCGCCAGAGGCAATAAAGTGTTGTGTACGTTTGCATTAGAACACTGGCTATTTGCCGCGCCGCGCTAAACGCCTTATTAGTTGAGCGCGCGTGGAGCGGTGCGCTACACGCGAGTAAACGGAGCAGCGGCCCTGTGGCTCGCTAAGCGTGAACCCGCGGTGATCATCCGCTGCAGTTAGTAGCGGGGGTCACTATACTGCGCCCAACGCGGTATCAAAGGCTCATTAAGCCTTTGGTTAGTGTTAGCGAGCCAGTTCGCCTGCGCGATTCGGGCTCGTCGCAACATGTCTGCTCCGTGGCATGCCGCGTTGCACAAAGAGGCCACCGCCTCTATCGACGGGCGCCCTTCGGCGCTCGCCTGTCTCGTCACCCCTTTTGTGGTGAATACACTCCTACGTCGTAGCTGACGCGCTATCTCATGCCCCTGTTGTCTGCCGAGAACCTGGATTTCGGTGCGACAGCCGCTCGCGGTGCCTTAGCACATGCAAGCGTCGGGGGCGAAAAAGCGGCGAAAAGAGGGAGTCCCCTTGAGGACGACCTTGACTGCTATCGAGGTAAGCGGCGCACTGCGTAGTGGCCGAGCGGGGGAACTTTCCGAAGGCCACCGTACCGAGAGCGAACCCGTGACGCCGTGCACGCGGCAGTTGCTGCGGTCCTGAGTGGGCGCGATACCAGACTTCCCCATTCGGGAGAATGGGAGCTGCTTTCGGCAGCGAAGAGCTACTGAAGGCTCATCAGAGTGATCCGTTTCGAGTCTCGGAGGGACGGAGCGCCGAATACGCTGCTTGCTTTGCGGCGGGCGCCGTTAAACCGTCTTGAGAGGCGCGGAGCGCCGTTAAGCTGCTTGTTCTGTGGCGGGCGCGATTAGGGGGCTGAAACAGCGTGTGTCACTGAGTCCCCGGCGGAGTCATTTTGCAGGACAATGACGGGCTCCTGCTGAACTATATAGCCACTGACGACGAGTCCGTCGACCCGTTAAGGTGGTTATGCCGAAAAGTCTGAGAGCCGCACTGTTGCGAGCCTCTCATGACGAGCCCATTGCCGGTCACCTGAGTGGCTCTAAAGTTTTTGCGAAACTGAGCAAGGTTGTGACTTGGCTTGGCGTGAAGCGTGACATTTTTCGCTATTGCTGTTCCTGCCACGTCTGTCAAACGGTGAAATCAAGGGGTGGCAAGCCGCCCGGCTTGATGAAACCGACTGTCAGTGAGCGTCTGTGGCAAGTAGCCACCTGCGATCTAATGGGGCCGTTCCCCAGGAGTAAGCGGGGGTTCATACATCTGATGGTAGTTGATCATTTTTTCAAATGGGTGGAGCTGTTTCCGCTGCGGAAAGTGACAGCACGAGCGGTGCTGGAGAGGCTACAGGAAGTGTTTTGTCAGTTCAGCTTTCCGAAAAGATTGATCACGGATAATGCGTCGTATTTCACCGCTCGGGTGTTTGGTGATACGTGCCGTTCCCTAGGAATAGATCACTGCACCACTTCGCCCTACCATCCCCAGTCCAATTTGACGGAGCGAACCAACCGTATGCTCAAACCGATGTTGGCGGCCTTTGCCGAAAGTCAAAAGGACTGGGCAGACCATTTGAGTGAACTCGCGTTTGCAATCCGAACCTCCGAGAGTCGCTCTACTGGTTTCTCTCCCGCCTTCCTTAATTTCAGAAGGGAGTTGGCAAATCCGGTGACCAGTGTCATGCAATGCCAGCTCGGAGACGAGGAAGAACCGGCAGACTGTTATGCTTACGCTCCACACTTCGGGACAGGCTTTGTCGAGCTCTCAGTAGAGTGAGGCAGAGTTTGGCATCGGCCAGGGCTGAGCAAAAGGCCCAGTACGACCGAAAACGTCGCCACCTTTCATTTAAGCTAGGTGACCTCGTCCTGAAGCGCAACCACGCTCTTAGCGACGCGAGCAAGGGTTTCTCAACTTCGCTCGCTCCAAAGTGGCTTGGTCCGTACCGAGTGGAGAAAGCTTGGGCTCCACTCGCGTACTTGCTGAAAGACCCGCTTTCGGGAAAACTCAGCCGTGCCCACATCGCAGACCTGAAAGCCTTTGCGTCAAGGTCTGACGAGCCTGCGCCAGCACCCAGTGGCTCTTCGCGCAAGCAACGGCGCACACCCGGCGCGGCGAACCGCATTCGGACCACGCACCGGTATAATCTAAGGAAGCAGTCACCTTAGTGATTTCGTGCCGGACGGCGGGCTTATTTCCGCAACCGAAGGCCCTCATTTATACTGTCTAGTCTCAGTTAACTAACTTCTTTACAGTCAGTGCTTGCAAAGAAGTCGGTCCCGCCCAGTTACTGCTGCTGATTGTCTGTTGAGGGTTCATGTTTTCTTGATTTTTTTTCCCGTTTTGCCCTGCGGAGGGGTAGCGACCAGTCGCTCGCGGGAACATTAAAGGACGCTCTGGTGGTGCAGGTCTGTGTGTCTGTGTGGTACGGAGAGCGGGAAGAACCGGGTCAATGACCCCTACGTCAACATAGGTGGCGCTGGTTGTCGGTGGGGCGACGGGGGAAGCCGGAGACTGCCAGCGGTGCGCCATTCTTGTTCTGGTGCCGGTCGTCGTGGTCACATGCCCTTCAGCGACATGCCCTCCAGCCAGAAACCCACACGGCAGGCGCCTCGGCGGCCAGAACCTTCCACCTCGGCACCACCCAAGTCCACCAGGCGGGTGTCCCGGCGGCGGGGATCAACAACATCGGCACCGCCACCGGTCCCCAAAACGCCAGGGCGGAGCGTGGCCACGTGGGCGCGGCAGGAGGGGCAGGGGGTCCCGCGCTACTTCGTGAGCGACGCACCGTGGAAAACGCAGCGGCGTGTTCGGCGCGACGCGGCCCTGGACCGTGTCCCGTGGCCATTCCGGGGCTGCACGCTGGCGGAGAGCGAGAAGGCAGCCGGAGGCGCCCAACTACCTACCGATGCAGTGGTGGAGTTCTGCGCCACCTGCCGCGTGACCGTGCACTTTCAGTGCCACTACGAGGGTGCCATGCACGTGGCGCGGACAAAGGGGGCCGCTGAGGGGAGGGCCACCGAGAGGAAGGCGTCAAATCTAGCCCCGCTGAGCCAGTGCTCAGACACGGACCTGGCGGCCCTGTGCCGACAGCGAATGGGGGAGGACCCCCATTTCGCGGCACTGCTGTCAGGGCTGCCACCGCCCGCAGCCAGCGACGGACCACCGATGGACGGCGTTGACACAATGGACGTCGACCGTCTTTTAGAACTGTAAGGCCACGCCGAGCCTTCCCTCCCCCCCCCCCCCAAGAACGCTGCAGCAGGCAAAATATGTTTTTTTGTATTGCTCATGTGTATTCTGTGTTGTTTTATTTTATTTTTTTCCTTCAGCAGCAGTTGCAGAGCGAGGCTGAGGCTAGCTGTTGCCAATTGCGTGACG